GTCCTTGTTGTTATTTCTATTTCTCATTTTTGAGCTTCCTTTTCTTGTGTTGTTTTGTTTTTAACATATTGCCTGTGAGCTTTTCACTCCTCTTTCTCCCTTTCTGTTAATTTTAAAAGTATTTTGGCCTATAGTTCATTGTTTTTCTGGGACTCAGTGACACCTCTTTGTCACTTTGAAATTTTTCTTTCTTTAAAAAAATATGTTTTTATTGATTTCTTTCTTTCTTTCTATGAACCTGGACTTTCCTAACCTTTGGAGGTTGTATCTCAGGAGTTGAGAAATAACTTTTGTGCACAAAGTTTTCACCAATCTGTAAAATATACTAATAGTCAGACATAAACATGTATGTATGATAATCTGTTGAGTGCGTTTTAAATGGATACTGTATGGTTTCGGCAAGACACAATGGAAAACATTGATAAATTCTTCTCATTTGCTTCTAGCTCTTCTTTTTTAAAAACTTTTGAACCCCTTCTTTCATTTCTCCCATTGCTCACCCACTTCTTCCAGCAACCACCAATCTGTTCTCTGAATCTATGAGCTTGCTTTTATTGGCTTATTTTGTTTGTTTGTTTGTTTGTTTGTTGTTGTTGTTTTGGGTTCATCATATAAGAGATCATATGTTATTTGTCTTCTCTGTCTGACTTATTTTACTTAATGCCCCCACGGTCCATCCATGTTGTCACAAATGGAAAGATTTCATTCTTTTTTATGGCTGCATAATATTCCATTTTGTATATATACACCACATTTTCTTTATCCATTCACTTATTGATGGACACTTAGGTTGTGTCCGTATCTTGGCTCTTGTAAACGGTGCTGCAATGAACATAGGGATGCATATATCTTTTTGAGTTAATGTTTTCATTTTTTTCAGATAAATATCCAGAAGTGGGATTGCTGAATCATATGGTAGTTCTATTTTTAATTAATTTGAGGAACCTCCATACTCTCTTCCCTAGTGCTGCACAAAATTACATTCCCACCAAAAGTACACAAGGGTTTTCTTTTCTTCACATTCTCACTAACACTAGTTTCTCTTGTCTTTTTTATAATAGCCATTCTCACAGGTATAAGGTGGTATTTCATGGTGGTTTAGATTTGCATTTCCCTGATGATTAGTGATGTTGAGCATCTTTTCATGTACCTGTTGGCCATCTGTATGTCTTCTTTGGAAAAATGGCTATTCAGATCTTCTGCCCATCTTTAAAATTAGATTGTTTTTGCTATTGAGTTATATAATCTTTTATATATATTGGATATTAACCTGTTATCATATATATGATTTGCAAATATAGTCACAAATCAGTCAGTATGATTAGCTAAGTGAAGGAAAAAATCATATCATTTCAATAGATGCAGAAAAAGCATTTGACAAAATTCAACATCCATTTATGATAAAAATTCTTGACGAAGTGCATATTGAGTGCTTACTATCTGCCAAGAAGTGAGATGAGTGTTCTTTTAATCCTTATAATTTAATCAGATAGATATTGTTATAGCCATATTGCGGTTGAGAAAATGCAAGCTTTTGTTAAATAACTTCTTCAGTTTCATACAAATGGTAACTTCAACTGAGATTTAACCTCAAATCAGGTAGACTCCAAAGTATGTACTCCTAGTCACTATCTATTGCCTATATCAGGGTTTCTTAATTTTGAAAATATTGATATTTGGAGCTGGATAATTTTTTGATATTAGAGGGCTGTCTATTGTCGGGCGTTTAGTAGCTACTCCCACTAGGTGCCAGTAATAATAACTCCAAGTCGTAACAACCAGACTGTCTCTAGACATTGCCCTGGTGGCAAAATCACCCCTGAAAACCACGGCCTAGAGGTGTATAATAAAAAAAGACCTTTGCATGGTAAATTGCATCCAGACTAGCAGCATTATAAACTGGACAGAAAACTATATCTGAACTTCCCTGGACATAATGACTGTTGTAGTTGGCCAAGCTCTTTGGGGAACCCTGGGTGCTGTGCTCTGAGTTTTTAGAAGAAATATTGGCTCCTGCGGATAGGCTTTTCAATCAAGATGCTTTCTGCACAACCTAGGTGGGTCTCTTGACTTGAGCTGTATTTTAAAGTGAGGACCTGAGAGCAGATGTGTCTTGGCAGCAGGAAACCACCCCAGTCAGGGAGACCTATGACTCTGAGGCGTCTCGTCAAAAGTTCAGACATTTCCAGTACTTGGGAGTGTCTGGGCCTCATGAAGCCCTGAGCCAACTCTGGGAGCTCTGTCTTCAGTGGCTGAGACCAGAGGTTCATACTAAGAAGCAGATCCTAGAACTGTTGGTGCTGGAGCAATTCCTGACAATTCTCCCTGAAGAGGTCAGGACTTGGGTGAATTTACATCATCCAAAGAACAGCAAAGAAGTGGTGACCCTCATAGAAGATGTAATGGAAGACAAAGGTGAGAATATAGAAAACTGGATGTGGAATAGTTGCCCTGGAGGGAAGGGACAGCATATTTTCCTGTTATAAAGAAGAAAAACAAGAATGAAAGGAGAATCCATTATATTTACTTGCTTAATTTTAAGAATATTATTTGTACTATTTTATCTTTTAACACTATGCTAATATGTTCACTATCTATGGGTCATATTTGTGTATTTTTTCAGTCTCTCAGGTACCTGAATGTTGGCTTTCTATCTGAAACTCCTGGAATTCCTGGAAATTTTATTTGAGTTATAACTTGGCTCAAATCACACCATATATATAAATATATATATAGTATACAGGTACTTAGCCCAAGCCTAAGAATTACTGGACTCCTCTGATAAGATAAATTCAGACAAAGTGGGACTTCCATCTAGGAAGATGCAGCCCCTGAACAAGTTGATGGCTATCTCACAACCTCACAACCTGACTCTGGATGAACAAAGTGAGGACCTGAGAGCAGATGTGTCTTGGCAGCAGGAAACCACCCCAGTCAGGGAGACCTATGACTCTGAGGCGTCTCGTCAAAAGTTCAGACATTTCCAGTACTTGGGAGTGTCTGGGCCTCATGAAGCCCTGAGCCAACTCTGGGAGCTCTGTCTTCAGTGGCTGAGACCAGAGGTTCATACTAAGAAGCAGATCCTAGAACTGTTGGTGCTGGAGCAATTCCTGACAATTCTCCCTGAAGAGGTCAGGACTTGGGTGAATTTACATCATCCAAAGAACAGCAAAGAAGTGGTGACCCTCATAGAAGATGTAATGGAAGACAAAGGTGAGAATATAGAAAACTGGATGTGGAATAGTTGCCCTGGAGGGAAGGGACAGCATATTTTCCTGTTATAAAGAAGAAAAACAAGAATGAAAGGAGAATCCATTATATTTACTTGCTTAATTTTAAGAATATTATTTGTACTATTTTATCTTTTAACACTATGCTAATATGTTCACTATCTATGGGTCATATTTGTGTATTTTTTCAGTCTCTCAGGTACCTGAATGTTGGCTTTCTATCTGAAACTCCTGGAATTCCTGGAAATTTTATTTGAGTTATAACTTGGCTCAAATCACACCATATATATAAATATATATATAGTATACAGGTACTTAGCCCAAGCCTAAGAATTACTGGACTCCTCTGATAAGATAAATTCAGACAAAGTGGGACTTCCATCTAGGAAGATGCAGCCCCTGAACAAGTTGATGGCTATCTCACAACCTCACAACCTGACTCTGGATGAACAAAGTGAGGACCTGAGAGCAGATGTGTCTTGGCAGCAGGAAACCACCCCAGTCAGGGAGACCTATGACTCTGAGGCGTCTCGTCAAAAGTTCAGACATTTCCAGTACTTGGGAGTGTCTGGGCCTCATGAAGCCCTGAGCCAACTCTGGGAGCTCTGTCTTCAGTGGCTGAGACCAGAGGTTCATACTAAGAAGCAGATCCTAGAACTGTTGGTGCTGGAGCAATTCCTGACAATTCTCCCTGAAGAGGTCAGGACTTGGGTGAATTTACATCATCCAAAGAACAGCAAAGAAGTGGTGACCCTCATAGAAGATGTAATGGAAGACAAAGGTGAGAATATAGAAAACTGGATGTGGAATAGTTGCCCTGGAGGGAAGGGACAGCATATTTTCCTGTTATAAAGAAGAAAAACAAGAATGAAAGGAGAATCCATTATATTTACTTGCTTAATTTTAAGAATATTATTTGTACTATTTTATCTTTTAACACTATGCTAATATGTTCACTATCTATGGGTCATATTTGTGTATTTTTTCAGTCTCTCAGGTACCTGAATGTTGGCTTTCTATCTGAAACTCCTGGAATTCCTGGAAATTTTATTTGAGTTATAACTTGGCTCAAATCACACCATATATATAAATATATATATAGTATACAGGTACTTAGCCCAAGCCTAAGAATTACTGGACTCCTCTGATAAGATAAATTCAGACAAAGTGGGACTTCCATCTAGGAAGATGCAGCCCCTGAACAAGTTGATGGCTATCTCACAACCTCACAACCTGACTCTGGATGAACAAAGTGAGGACCTGAGAGCAGATGTGTCTTGGCAGCAGGAAACCACCCGAGTCAGGGAGACCTATGACTCTGAGGCGTCTCGTCAAAAGTTCAGACATTTCCAGTACTTGGGAGTGTCTGGGCCTCATGAAGCCCTGAGCCAACTCTGGGAGCTCTGTCTTCAGTGGCTGAGACCAGAGGTTCATACTAAGAAGCAGATCCTAGAACTGTTGGTGCTGGAGCAATTCCTGACAATTCTCCCTGAAGAGGTCAGGACTTGGGTGAATTTACATCATCCAAAGAACAGCAAAGAAGTGGTGACCCTCATAGAAGATGTAATGGAAGACAAAGGTGAGAATATAGAAAACTGGATGTGGAATAGTTGCCCTGGAGGGAAGGGACAGCATATTTTCCTGTTATAAAGAAGAAAAACAAGAATGAAAGGAGAATCCATTATATTTACTTGCTTAATTTTAAGAATATTATTTGTACTATTTTATCTTTTAACACTATGCTAATATGTTCACTATCTATGGGTCATATTTGTGTATTTTTTCAGTCTCTCAGGTACCTGAATGTTGGCTTTCTATCTGAAACTCCTGGAATTCCTGGAAATTTTATTTGAGTTATAACTTGGCTCAAATCACACCATATATATAAATATATATATAGTATACAGGTACTTAGCCCAAGCCTAAGAATTACTGGACTCCTCTGATAAGATAAATTCAGACAAAGTGGGACTTCCATCTAGGAAGATGCAGCCCCTGAACAAGTTGATGGCTATCTCACAACCTCACAACCTGACTCTGGATGAACAAAGTGAGGACCTGAGAGCAGATGTGTCTTGGCAGCAGGAAACCACCCCAGTCAGGGAGACCTATGACTCTGAGGCGTCTCGTCAAAAGTTCAGACATTTCCAGTACTTGGGAGTGTCTGGGCCTCATGAAGCCCTGAGCCAACTCTGGGAGCTCTGTCTTCAGTGGCTGAGACCAGAGGTTCATACTAAGAAGCAGATCCTAGAACTGTTGGTGCTGGAGCAATTCCTGACAATTCTCCCTGAAGAGGTCAGGACTTGGGTGAATTTACATCATCCAAAGAACAGCAAAGAAGTGGTGACCCTCATAGAAGATGTAATTGAAGACAAAGGTGAGAATATAGAAAACTGGATGTGGAATAGTTGCCCTGGGGGGAAGGGACAGCATATTTTCCTGTTATAAAGAAGAAAAACAAGATTGGAAGGAGAATCCATTATAGTTATTTTCTTAAGTAATTTTAAGAATATGATTTGTACTATTTTATCTTTTAACACTATGAGGCCTCAAATATTATTTTGGCTCCTTTTCCTCTGATCCAGTAGTTCTCAATCCCTGGTGGAATTTCAGAATCACATTTAGAGCTTTTTAAAAATATAAGATCTAGGCTCCACCCTTGGAGATTCTGATTGTTTGTAGAGCTTTGCATCATTATTTTTTCAAAGTTCTTTAAAGCTGATTCCTATGGATAGCATGTTATAATCACTGCTGTAATCATTAAACTTTTCTCCAAAGCATAGCTTGTCTCCCTAATGTTTTTCTTCATTTTCTTCAGATATACCCTGCAAGGATTCTGCCCTTCTCCGGAAGGTGAGTATCAAGAAGGAGAAAATGGAAGCAGACTCACTAACAGGCAAATCCCAGGTGAATTAGGATTCCACTCTTTGCTGAAATGAGCTGATTTTTCTTTCTTGACCTTTGAACTTTTGTCAAACATAGTTTAATCTAAGGACATGAGACTTGTTCTCCCTCAGGACATTGGACCTATTTTAGTTGGCAATACACTTTTTGAAAAATATGATCTTTGTATGTTCTCTGTGCATTTATTTCTTCAAAACTGTAAACAGTAATTAAAGCTATTAAAATAGAGCCCATCCAGAGAATGTTCAGAATTAAAAGTGAAGGGAGCCAATGTCACTAATGGTCAGGAGAAGAAACCTCAATGGATACTGAAATGAAACAAAGTAGGAGAGAAAAACCAGGACAATGTTGTCACTGAAAGCAAAGGATGAGAATATTTCAAGAAGAAATTCTTTAAAGTTTAGGAAAATCCAGCCTGAGTAATGTCTTAGTGTCTGTTCATTATCATCATGGAGATACTAAGATGCATGAGCATAAAAGCCAGGTTGCAGAGAAGATGAGGAAGTAAGCAAAACGAATGTAGACAACTTATTCACAAAGACAGGCCCTGAAGTAGGGGAAGGGAAAGGATTTGTATATTTCAATGTGACTGAAGGTGCCAATAATGATAAGGTTGAGAATGCCAAGAGAAATTCGACAACTGTTGATGGTAAGAGGGCCCTCTTAAGAAAGGTTTAATGCAGCCCTGGCCTGTGTGGCTCAGTTGCTTGGATGTCATCCCATGCACCAAAAGGTTGCCAGTTTGATTCCAAGTCAGGGCACATACCTGGGTTGTGGGCTTGATCCTCGGCAGCCAATTGATGTTTCACTCTCTCCCTTCCTCTCTCTCTAAAAGTCAATAAAAAAAATCTTTAAAGAAAAAGAAGAACTGTTTACACAGGGCCTAATATGCCACACTTTTTTTATGACAGTAAATGAAACAAAACCCTGGCTTTGTGGAGATATATTTATAGTCAAAGCAGACAGGCAAACGCAAGCAAATAAACTAATTGCAGCCCTGACTGGTGTGGCTTAGTTGGTTGAGCATCCGTCAGGGCACATACTCAAGTTGCTCGTTGGTTCCCCTGTCTGGGTGCATATAAGAAGTGGCCGACCCATGTTTCTCTCTCATTTTGATGTCTCTCTTTCTCCCCCCTCTCTTGCCCCCTCTCCTCCCTTCCTCTCTCTAAACCAGTGGTTCTCAACCTTCTGGCCCTTTAAATACAGTTCCTAATGTTGTGCCCCAACCATAAAATTATTTTCGTTGCTACTTCATAACTGTAATGTTGCTACTGTTATGAATCGTAATGTAAATATCTGATATGCAGTATGGTCTTAGGTGACCCCTGTGAAAGGGTTGTGCGACCGCCAAAGGGGTCGCGACCCAAAGGTTGAGAACCACTGCTCTAAACTCAATAAAAACATTTTTTGAAAGGATAATTGCAGACAGGAATAATAATTACAAAGAAAAGAAAGAAATATAATGCAGTAGAGACTGATTAAGAGAATGGCTACTTTGGGTAATCAGGAAAGGCCTGTCCGACCAGCTAACAGTAGGCTGTGAGAACTGAGGTTAGCAGGCTGGGTTTCTCAATTGGAGAAAATGCCCTACCTCTTCTGCTATTGAAGCCTACATCTTCATTACAAATTTCCCTCAAATCTACCTTCAACTCTTTGTGCTCTGAACTCCTTTTATGTAAATTATTTATACTCTATAATAATTTTTGTTCCACAGTTATCCCAACTGTTTTTTTCTCCTCCAGCAAAACGTAAGCTAATCGAATTAATTTTCCTTTTGTGGCCCTCACAAAGTTCCAAGTTGATAGGTCCCTAATATAACACGACTTCATCCTTTAGAACTCCAAACATTGACCTATCAATTTTTGTATATTCTGGCTACCTCCCGTATTCTTTCCAAATTTATTTCTCCTCTAGTAATATTTTTGGAGTGATCTTTGCTTAAAAAGGAACTTAATGTTTTAGGAGCCAGTGACATTCAAAGATGTGGTTGTGGAATTCAGCGTGGAAGAGTGGGGGCAATTGGACTCTGCTGTAAAGAACCTGTACAGGGATGTGATGCTGGAGAACTATAGGAACCTCAGTTCATTGCGTAAAGGTGGCTTCTATGTACTTACCTAATCTGCTCATTAATAATCTCTTCATCTACTGATAAAATTATAGGACTGCTGAAGTGATTAAGGGCATTTGGGATTAGGTTCAGATTTCCTAATATTCTTTGGGCACAACAGCAGATTTACTTGCTGTATGTGTCTAAAAGTCCTTTCTGATGTAGAGTTTTAGAAATACACAGGTGTGTGATGATTCTGGCCTAATCTTTCAACAGCTCTTAGAACACTATGTTGGGATGAAATTCTTTTTCCTCTAAAACGGTCTGGAGTGTCATGTATGTTTGTTTATTGTGTTGTTTTCATTTTTCCCATAACAGAGCTTCTATTTTCCAAACCAGTTGAGGCCCCCAAGTTGGAGAGTAAGATAAAAGGATGGATAATGGAGCAAGAAATCCCAAGAACAGCCATACTGGGTAAGAAGCAGGCAGATATGAGGCATTTGTAAAAATCTGTTTGTTAAACTTACCATTGTACAACCCAGCCTTTGGTTGATAGTTGGGAAGGTGATGACAAAACCACCTAAACTTTGAAGAAAAAAAGTCATCATTGCTTTTTGTTCACAGATTCTTTTTCTTATTTGGACAGGCAAAATTGTGTTATGGGTTAGAACTTAAAACTGTGTGGCCTATCTGCCAGTTTCCTAATCTGTAACAGAGAGTGAATGACAGTGTCTACTTCCACTTTACTGTGAGGATGAAATGTATTCATATGTGTAACATACTTAGAGCAGTGCCTGACACCTGGTAAATGCTATATAAATGAATGTTCACCATCATCTCATTAAATGGTATTCTTTGTTTTTTCTTTTTCTTTTCTTTTTTTTAAAGAAAACAGAAAACTCTGCTTTATCCTAGAGTGGCTTCAATATTCTTCCATTTTTTTCCTTTCTTTAACTATATAACTCCTTAACTTGTACCTTAAGTCCCTACCCTCATCATAATTTATTCTTATTAACATTTTGGTTTTGAGAAGTTATAAATTATTGTATGTATATTTTAGTAAGTATAGAATATGCTTTTCTATAATGAGGGATATAACTCACTTCATTACCTCACTACCCAGAGCTATGTAGTATTAACATTTGTGGGGGTTTTTTTTCTTAAGCCATTTTCTTTGTTTATGTTAATGTATTTTTGTGGCTTGTGACAATTTATTTTTTCCAAAATTGGGGTTATCAGGAATATGTCATTATATATATTCTGCTCTTCTTACCTAATATGATATCATGCACAATTGCCTATTTCACTAAATACAAAAATTGGTTTCTAATTCACATATAACATTCCATCACATACATGTATCGGTATATTCAACCATTCCTCCCTCCCACCACAACTATTGGACATTTAGGTTATTGCCAATTTTTCAGGCTTATGTGTTGACTTCTGTAGTATACCTTATTAGAAGAGGAACTTCAGCACCAAAGAAGTGGTGTGTGTTATTTTAAGAATATTATTTGTACTATTTTATCTTTTAACACTATGCTAATATGTTCACTATCTATGGGTCATATTTGTGTATTTTTTCAGTCTCTCAGGTACCTGAATGTTGGCTTTCTATCTGAAACTCCTGGAATTCCTGGAAATTTTATTTGAGTTATAACTTGGCTCAAATCACACCATATATATAAATATATATATAGTATACAGGTACTTAGCCCAAGCCTAAGAATTACTGGACTCCTCTGATAAGATAAATTCAGACAAAGTGGGACTTCCATCCAGGAAGATGCAGCCCCTGAACAAGTTGATGGCTATCTCACAACCTCACAACCTGACTCTGGATGAACAAAGTGAGGACCTGAGAGCAGATGTGTCTTGGCAGCAGGAAACCACCCCAGTCAGGGAGACCTATGACTCTGAGGCGTCTCGTCAAAAGTTCAGACATTTCCAGTACTTGGGAGTGTCTGGGCCTCATGAAGCCCTGAGCCAACTCTGGGAGCTCTGTCTTCAGTGGCTGAGACCAGAGGTTCATACTAAGAAGCAGATCCTAGAACTGTTGGTGCTGGAGCAATTCCTGACAATTCTCCCTGAAGAGGTCAGGACTTGGGTGAATTTACATCATCCAAAGAACAGCAAAGAAGTGGTGACCCTCATAGAAGATGTAATGGAAGACAAAGGTGAGAATATAGAAAACTGGATGTGGAATAGTTGCCCTGGGGGGAAGGGACAGCATATTTTCCTGTTATAAAGAAGAAAAACAAGATTGGAAGGAGAATCCATTATAGTTATTTTCTTAAGGAATTTTAAGAATATGATTTGTACTATTTTATCTTTTAACACTATGCTAATATGTTCACTATCTATGGGTCATATTTGTGTATTTTTTCAGTCTCTCAGGTACCTGAATGTTGGCTTTCTATCTGAAACTCCTGGAATTCCTGGAAATTTTATTTGAGTTATAAGTTGGCTCAAATCACACCATATATATAAATATATATATAGTATACAGGTACTTAGCCCAAGCCTAAGAATTACTGGACTCCTCTGATAAGATAAATTCAGACAAAGTGGGACTTCCATCCAGGAAGATGCAGCCCCTGAACAAGTTGATGGCTATCTCACAACCTCACAACCTGACTCTGGATGAACAAAGTGAGGACCTGAGAGCAGATGTGTCTTGGCAGCAGGAAACCACCCCAGTCAGGGAGACCTATGACTCTGAGGCGTCTCGTCAAAAGTTCAGACATTTCCAGTACTTGGGAGTGTCTGGGCCTCATGAAGCCCTGAGCCAACTCTGGGAGCTCTGTCTTCAGTGGCTGAGACCAGAGGTTCATACTAAGAAGCAGATCCTAGAACTGTTGGTGCTGGAGCAATTCCTGACAATTCTCCCTGAAGAGGTCAGGACTTGGGTGAATTTACATCATCCAAAGAACAGCAAAGAAGTGGTGACCCTCATAGAAGATGTAATTGAAGACAAAGGTGAGAATATAGAAAACTGGATGTGGAATAGTTGCCCTGGGGGGAAGGGACAGCATATTTTCCTGTTATAAAGAAGAAAAACAAGATTGGAAGGAGAATCCATTATAGTTATTTTCTTAAGTAATTTTAAGAATATGATTTGTACTATTTTATCTTTTAACACTATGCTAATATGTTCACTATCTATGGGTCATATTTGTGTATTTTTTCAGTCTCTCAGGTACCTGAATGTTGGCTTTCTATCTGAAACTCCTGGAATTCCTGGAAATTTTATTTGAGTTATAAGTTGGCTCAAATCACACCATATATATAAATATATATATAGTATACAGGTACTTAGCCCAAGCCTAAGAATTACTGGACTCCTCTGATAAGATAAATTCAGACAAAGTGGGACTTCCATCCAGGAAGATGCAGCCCCTGAACAAGTTGATGGCTATCTCACAACCTCACAACCTGACTCTGGATGAACAAAGTGAGGACCTGAGAGCAGATGTGTCTTGGCAGCAGGAAACCACCCCAGTCAGGGAGACCTATGACTCTGAGGCGTCTCGTCAAAAGTTCAGACATTTCCAGTACTTGGGAGTGTCTGGGCCTCATGAAGCCCTGAGCCAACTCTGGGAGCTCTGTCTTCAGTGGCTGAGACCAGAGGTTCATACTAAGAAGCAGATCCTAGAACTGTTGGTGCTGGAGCAATTCCTGACAATTCTCCCTGAAGAGGTCAGGACTTGGGTGAATTTACATCATCCAAAGAACAGCAAAGAAGTGGTGACCCTCATAGAAGATGTAATTGAAGACAAAGGTGAGAATATAGAAAACTGGATGTGGAATAGTTGCCCTGGGGGGAAGGGACAGCATATTTTCCTGTTATAAAGAAGAAAAACAAGATTGGAAGGAGAATCCATTATAGTTATTTTCTTAAGTAATTTTAAGAATATGATTTGTACTATTTTATCTTTTAACACTATGCTAATATGTTCACTATCTATGGGTCATATTTGTGTATTTTTTCAGTCTCTCAGGTACCTGAATGTTGGCTTTCTATCTGAAACTCCTGGAATTCCTGGAAATTTTATTTGAGTTATAAGTTGGCTCAAATCACACCATATATATAAATATATATATAGTATACAGGTACTTAGCCCAAGCCTAAGAATTACTGGACTCCTCTGATAAGATAAATTCAGACAAAGTGGGACTTCCATCCAGGAAGATGCAGCCCCTGAACAAGTTGATGGCTATCTCACAACCTCACAACCTGACTCTGGATGAACAAAGTGAGGACCTGAGAGCAGATGTGTCTTGGCAGCAGGAAACCACCCCAGTCAGGGAGACCTATGACTCTGAGGCGTCTCGTCAAAAGTTCAGACATTTCCAGTACTTGGGAGTGTCTGGGCCTCATGAAGCCCTGAGCCAACTCTGGGAGCTCTGTCTTCAGTGGCTGAGACCAGAGGTTCATACTAAGAAGCAGATCCTAGAACTGTTGGTGCTGGAGCAATTCCTGACAATTCTCCCTGAAGAGGTCAGGACTTGGGTGAATTTACATCATCCAAAGAACAGCAAAGAAGTGGTGACCCTCATAGAAGATGTAATTGAAGACAAAGGTGAGAATATAGAAAACTGGATGTGGAATAGTTGCCCTGGGGGGAAGGGACAGCATATTTTCCTGTTATAAAGAAGAAAAACAAGATTGGAAGGAGAATCCATTATAGTTATTTTCTTAAGTAATTTTAAGAATATGATTTGTACTATTTTATCTTTTAACACTATGCTAATATGTTCACTATCTATGGGTCATATTTGTGTATTTTTTCAGTCTCTCAGGTACCTGAATGTTGGCTTTCTATCTGAAACTCCTGGAATTCCTGGAAATTTTATTTGAGTTATAAGTTGGCTCAAATCACACCATATATATAAATATATATATAGTATACAGGTACTTAGCCCAAGCCTAAGAATTACTGGACTCCTCTGATAAGATAAATTCAGACAAAGTGGGACTTCCATCCAGGAAGATGCAGCCCCTGAACAAGTTGATGGCTATCTCACAACCTCACAACCTGACTCTGGATGAACAAAGTGAGGACCTGAGAGCAGATGTGTCTTGGCAGCAGGAAACCACCCCAGTCAGGGAGACCTATGACTCTGAGGCGTCTCGTCAAAAGTTCAGACATTTCCAGTACTTGGGAGTGTCTGGGCCTCATGAAGCCCTGAGCCAACTCTGGGAGCTCTGTCTTCAGTGGCTGAGACCAGAGGTTCATACTAAGAAGCAGATCCTAGAACTGTTGGTGCTGGAGCAATTCCTGACAATTCTCCCTGAAGAGGTCAGGACTTGGGTGAATTTACATCATCCAAAGAACAGCAAAGAAGTGGTGACCCTCATAGAAGATGTAATTGAAGACAAAGGTGAGAATATAGAAAACTGGATGTGGAATAGTTGCCCTGGGGGGAAGGGACAGCATATTTTCCTGTTATAAAGAAGAAAAACAAGATTGGAAGGAGAATCCATTATAGTTATTTTCTTAAGTAATTTTAAGAATATGATTTGTACTATTTTATCTTTTAACACTATGCTAATATGTTCACTATCTATGGGTCATATTTGTGTATTTTTTCAGTCTCTCAGGTACCTGAATGTTGGCTTTCTATCTGAAACTCCTGGAATTCCTGGAAATTTTATTTGAGTTATAAGTTGGCTCAAATCACACCATATATATAAATATATATATAGTATACAGGTACTTAGCCCAAGCCTAAGAATTACTGGACTCCTCTGATAAGATAAATTCAGACAAAGTGGGACTTCCATCCAGGAAGATGCAGCCCCTGAACAAGTTGATGGCTATCTCACAACCTCACAACCTGACTCTGGATGAACAAAGTGAGGACCTGAGAGCAGATGTGTCTTGGCAGCAGGAAACCACCCCAGTCAGGGAGACCTATGACTCTGAGGCGTCTCGTCAAAAGTTCAGACATTTCCAGTACTTGGGAGTGTCTGGGCCTCATGAAGCCCTGAGCCAACTCTGGGAGCTCTGTCTTCAGTGGCTGAGACCAGAGGTTCATACTAAGAAGCAGATCCTAGAACTGTTGGTGCTGGAGCAATTCCTGACAATTCTCCCTGAAGAGGTCAGGACTTGGGTGAATTTACATCATCCAAAGAACAGCAAAGAAGTGGTGACCCTCATAGAAGATGTAATTGAAGACAAAGGTGAGAATATAGAAAACTGGATGTGGAATAGTTGCCCTGGGGGGAAGGGACAGCATATTTTCCTGTTATAAAGAAGAAAAACAAGATTGGAAGGAGAATCCATTATAGTTATTTTCTTAAGTAATTTTAAGAATATGATTTGTACTATTTTATCTTTTAACACTATGCTAATATGTTCACTATCTATGGGTCATATTTGTGTATTTTTTCAGTCTCTCAGGTACCTGAATGTTGGCTTTCTATCTGAAACTCCTGGAATTCCTGGAAATTTTATTTGAGTTATAAGTTGGCTCAAATCACACCATATATATAAATATATATATAGTATACAGGTACTTAGCCCAAGCCTAAGAATTACTGGACTCCTCTGATAAGATAAATTCAGACAAAGTGGGACTTCCATCCAGGAAGATGCAGCCCCTGAACAAGTTGATGGCTATCTCACAACCTCACAACCTGACTCTGGATGAACAAAGTGAGGACCTGAGAGCAGATGTGTCTTGGCAGCAGGAAACCACCCCAGTCAGGGAGACCTATGACTCTGAGGCGTCTCGTCAAAAGTTCAGACATTTCCAGTACTTGGGAGTGTCTGGGCCTCATGAAGCCCTGAGCCAACTCTGGGAGCTCTGTCTTCAGTGGCTGAGACCAGAGGTTCATACTAAGAAGCAGATCCTAGAACTGTTGGTGCTGGAGCAATTCCTGACAATTCTCCCTGAAGAGGTCAGGACTTGGGTGAATTTACATCATCCAAAGAACAGCAAAGAAGTGGTGACCCTCATAGAAGATGTAATTGAAGACAAAGGTGAGAATATAGAAAACTGGATGTGGAATAGTTGCCCTGGGGGGAAGGGACAGCATATTTTCCTGTTATAAAGAAGAAAAACAAGATTGGAAGGAGAATCCATTATAGTTATTTTCTTAAGTAATTTTAAGAATATGATTTGTACTATTTTATCTTTTAACACTATGCTAATATGTTCACTATCTATGGGTCATATTTGTGTATTTTTTCAGTCTCTCAGGTACCTGAATGTTGGCTTTCTATCTGAAACTCCTGGAATTCCTGGAAATTTTATTTGAGTTATAAGTTGGCTCAAATCACACCATATATATAAATATATATATAGTATACAGGTACTTAGCCCAAGCCTAAGAATTACTGGACTCCTCTGATAAGATAAATTCAGACAAAGTGGGACTTCCATCCAGGAAGATGCAGCCCCTGAACAAGTTGATGGCTATCTCACAACCTCACAACCTGACTCTGGATGAACAAAGTGAGGACCTGAGAGCAGATGTGTCTTGGCCTTTCTTGGCAGTTAATTTGCATATCACCCTGATTAGCCAATGGGAAGCGTAGCGAAGGTATGGTCAATTACCCTGTTTGTCTTTTATTAGATAGGATGATTTGACTGTATTCCCTATGCTTTACTTTATAACCTTGTGACTATTTTGTAACTACTTATTGTACTACTTACTTCCTTTAACTTTTTCACCCAGCCCCCCAACTCCCCTTCCATTTGGCAACCATCAGTTTGTTCTTTGTCTCTCTGAGTCTGTTTCTGTTTTGTTTTATCACTCTGGCAAACACTAGGTATTTTTTACCTGAAATCTTTATTAATTTGATAGGCAAATTACTCTGTTTCTTCCTTTCTATATCTTCTCCCTCAGTTATCTTTTGGATCCCATTTCTATAAAATGCTCTTTCTTCCATTCTTTGCCTTGCTGATCTCTAAACCTTCTTTTTAATATTTTTATCTCATTTATTTGTTCTGTAATTCTTCTTTTCTAGCCTCACTTCATTGTATTCTGTGTTTAAGATGCATAAAATATGCATATCCCCTTATATGGTTTAGCCTTCCTTTCCTAATCAAGCAATTTTTTTTCTTCTAGTTTGTGGAATTTTTATTTCTTTTCAGACACACAAATAATTTCAGAAAATCAGGATTCAGTTTCAAAGAGAATTTCTGGAGCAGAATCATTCCATGGAGAGATAATGACAACACTGACCCAAAGTAGACTTCCTTCTCTAGATGCCTGGAAAGGTGATGATTGGTTATATAGGAACTGGGACATAAATTTGCCACAAGAAGCTTTCATTCATAAGACAATCGATACTGTGGAGGGAGACTTTGAATATAGTGAAAATAAGAAAAGCTTTGATGTTAAGTCAGTTAACTCAGTTTTTGATAGTTAACAAGGGGTCCCCGAAGTGCAATAAGTTTAAAACTAATTTCAAATTTAATTTTGACTTACTAGGAAAGCAACATTCAGAATATAATGAATGTGGGAATGCCTTGAGCCTGAGTACAGATATTCAACACCCAAAAAGTCATACCACAAGGAGTTGCTATGAATGTTTTCAGTGTGGGAAAGCCTTCAGCCGGAGTTCATCCCTTGTTCGACATCAGATCATTCACACAGGAGAGAAACCCTATAAATGTAGTAAATGTGGGAGATCCTTCAACCGACGAACAAACCTTAGTAAGCATCAAAGAGGTCATCCAGAAGTAAAGGCCTACAAAGGAAATAAATGTGAAACAGTCTTCAGTAAGAGTGAAGACAGTAATAAAAATCCAAGTCTCCATCCTAGAGATAATACTTATGAATGTGTAAACTGTGGAAAATCCTTCAGCCGGAGCTCCTCACTTATTCGACATCAAATGATTCATACCGGAGAGAAACCATTTAAATGTAACAAGTGTGAGAAAACTTTCAACAGGAATTCAAACCTTATTAAACACCAAAAACTTCATACTCAAGAGAAGTCCTATAACAAGTAAATGTAATATTGCCTTTAGTCAGAGTGCAGAACTCATTCAACATCCATGAACTTATGCTGGAAGGAATCCTATGAAAATGCAAATGGAAAAAAGAAACTTTTTCAGAGATTATTCTCTAATTGATAATGACAAAATTAATATTGGAGGGAAATCTGTTATTGGATAGAAATCTCAGGCAGATTTTCCTGGCTCCCAGATGAAACCACAGAGTTTGGAATTAAACATATCACCATACAAGTGTTTTGTCTATCATTATTCTGATGTTCATTACCATCATCTTTCTCTAGTTCATAAATAGGACCTAATCTATTGAGGAAGTCCATATTAGGGAGAAGCCAAGCAATATCCTTGGAGTTGATAAATTTAGTAAACCTCAAACTTTCAGTTCTTAATATGAAGGTCACAAGTAACCAGGAGATCATGAAGGACATTTCTAAGGACTGAACTCTCTGAAGTAATGGCAAAGATCATAGTGACAACCAATTACTCCACCCCAATTAATATCTTTGGCTGCCCTGGTGCTCAGTGGGGACTACAATTGGAAAAGGGTAATTAACTGCAATAGGAGGTGGATGTATTGTTAATCTACATGTATTTTTTTAAGATATGAATTTTTTTAAAAGTACTCTTTGGGATCTAGGCTGGAGGACATCCATAGCCCTAGGTCTATCATTTATCCTAAACATTTAAAGGTCAATAAAGTGTCCTCAAGTGGGACACAGGCCCTGCCACCACCCCGGAGAAACAGTCCACCAAATCGCAGCCGACGCTGCCGTGGCACAAAATGCAGCCCACAGCCCAGCACAGCCTGCAAACAGTGGCTATGGGCATCAGGTAATGACATCATATTTTTGTTGACATTCTGAAGCCGAAATTGTCAACAGAATATATCTGAAGACCAACTATTGCCACAGCGTACCTCTGAGGCTGAAAGAAAGCAATGTTGTCGACAAAATATGTCTGAAGAACAACTAATGATAAATGAAGATTCTGATAGTAAAAATTTCATGGAAAATATTCGTTATATCATGTTATTGTTTTTTATTAATCTCTATATTATTTTCATCTACATTTTACTAATTTTCTTTCATCTCTGACACTTCTATAGAGAAAGGGCAAATAGCGATATTAAAATATTTCCTCTAATTAATTTTCTGTCAATGTGCATGAATTCATGCACCAGGCCACTAGTTTCTAGATAAAAAGGCTATTGTGGAGATGTTGAATCCTCCCACATTAAACTATAAAAAAATTCTAATCAAATATTTCATTGAGAACATTATTTCACAAATTGATTATAAAGTTTATTTTGTAAGTACCACTCTAGTGAGGAAAATGTAAGAGATATCTCTTAAGTATATATGACAATGAGTTTGGTGGCTAAAGAGCAAAACTGAGAAAAGAAAAATATTTTTATTTTCATTTTTTTGGATGAAAATGCTTCTTATAAAACACCTACATCTACTTAAAGAGTCTTAAGATATATGGCAAATCAGACTTCTAGATTTTAATCCTGGACTTGCTAATAATTTGTCCTATAACTAGTTATTTAACTTGAGACTCTAATATTTCATCTGAGAATAGGGATACCTGGCCTACGTTTTTATTGTACAGTTCAAATGAGATAATATAGCACTTATTTCTTAAGTATAAGAATTGCAAATTAAATGCAAATGTATGGTTTTAATATTATTATTGGAGCTTAATGATTTAACACAGTGTTTGGCTCCTAATAAATGCTCAAAAATCGTAGCCATTAATTATTACAATCTACCAAAGAAGCAGTAGGCTGGCTAAGCAACTAACAACCCTCCAAAACATCAAATGAAATAAATTATAGTTTTAAGGATGAAGGATTCCCCAACAGTGCATACTCAGTAGGTTTTCTAAGAGTCAAACATGATTCTGTGAAAGAAATCTCAGCACCAGAATTCATCATAAATATAGCAAACACTTTTAAACAGGAATAGATTCCATCCTACCCCCACCATTTAGGTTAATATATTTTCAATTGTGAAATTGCTTGAAATTTTTTTTCAAAGGGAGTTTTATCTCTACTTTTCCTACCCTTTAGCTAGAAAAGAAAGGTAACAACTCTTGTAGACCTACTCAAAGATAAATACAAACTATGGATATTTTTATTCAAAAATCCTATGGTGGTAAATACTCTGAAAAATCTGGATCTGTATGAGTGTCTGTTTTTTTGCATATGAGTGCAGTCTTACTAAGTATAGCAGATACTAACCTGACCAAAGCAATTATTTCATAAACAACACAACCTAGCAAAAACTACGGGTATATTCACTAGTTTCCTGACAGTTTAAGGTGAGTACTGGTTGGTATGTGCCTTACTGGGAGACAACAGGAAAGCAAAAGGGAGCTTTTGCCCTCTGGAAGGTAAAACCAAAGATATCTGGTCTCTGATACTAATATATGCACATCATGGAAGAAACCATGTAATAAGAAAAGGAAAGGAGATAGAATGGTTGAGGGAACAGAATATTAAGCTTCCAAGCATAAGAATTTTCTTTACATCATGGGTGGAAAATGGTAACATCTCAGTGGTTTGACTTCTGAGTGAAAATATATAGCTTTTTGGAATCAATGAAAATCTAAATAGTTTGCATCAGCTACTATTTATTTGGATTCCAAAATAATGCTCCCTATTTAGTGGATAATACATAAGCTGACATGAGGACTACCGGCAGAATGTACATGACTTGCTTGATGCTGTTTTCGAGTTTTATTTCTTAGTAGATTCATTATGAACATAGTAATTATTAAAATGGAGTTCTATAGTTTAAAGAGGAAGGGGATTTTTCAGTCCGGTTTCTCTCCTATGAATCAGTTTTCATATAAAAGCAACTGAATATATTTCTCAATGGGACGTCTGTAAACATTTTAATGGATTCTTTGCTGTAAACTCCAAAATTCTAAAAAAAAATATATTCTCAATGTATTTGGAATCATTTGAAGATGTGTGAAGTTATGGTGATACTGTCTTTTCAACATCCATCCCTTAAACATTTACAGTATGTCAACACTGCGCTAGAAGCTGGAGACATTCAAGGAACTAACATCTATCAGAAAACATTACACAAGGTGACAGGTACTAGACCAGTGGTTCTCAACCTTGGCTGCACATTAGAATCACCTGGTGCAGCCAAGGTTGAGAACCACTGTACTAGACAAATGATGTGGAGGCACAGGATTCCAGAGACCAGATTTGGCAAACTTTAAGCCTCCAGCATCTGGGCAAGATATCCAAGATGATTAAGAATCTGCATTTGGGGATGGAGCAAAGCCGCCTACTAACCTAAGCCCTGGCTGTGAGGGGCTCCCTGCCCACCAGACTCCTTTTCCGTGCTCCTCTCCCAGGTAAGGGCAGATGGGTGAGAAAGCTGGAGAGGAAGAGAGTCTATTGGAAGTCCCTCTCACAGTCTGAAGAGCTCACCTGGGATACCTCCAGGATGTGCGTCTACAATTCGTAGCTTCAGCCTATTATCCAAAATAAGTCAAGTCTAATCCTCTCTCGCCCTCTGCAGCCCCTTCAATCTGAGGGCAGGGCAGGCTGGAGGGCTCAAAAGCCAGCCATTGCGCCAACAAAACCAGAGTCCACCCCTAGGGAACTCCTACACCAGGTAACCTCAGGAGCTCAGGCCAGCTGGAAAGCACCTCCCACGTGGGTGGGGTGGGGCTGGCCTAGCAACAGGAAGTGTAGTGTAGGTGGAGGGGTCAGGGCTGAGACCTCCTCCATTGCCAGCGCAGTAGGGTTCCACCAGGTGGGTAGCGGGCGATGCACAGTCTTTCTCCCAATAAACCTGGGTAACCGTTCTAGCTTTGGGGCTTCTCTTCTATTGATGTTGGGAGTGCACAATGACCTCTAGTCTCCAGCACCGTGAAAAACGCTTGCCAGTTGGTGCTGAAGACATGGTGAGATTTTCCTGCTGGGCCTCTGAGCTTGGTGTCCTGGAGACAGAATTTCTCTGGATATTGAGTGCGCTTAATAGGACCTTTCTTGGAGTGATTTTGAAATTAGAATGACATTGGACTTTTAAGAAGATTTCCTAGAATCATTATGCTGTGAAAATTAATACTTTATTGTGTGGCAGGCAGGTTTTTAGAGATAAAGGAGAGAGGGACTTTAGTTAGGACTCCTATTATTTAAATCCCTTTAATTTACAGCTAAGAGAGGTCAAATAATTATCCTAATTCTATACCATCAGTAAAAGATGAAAGGCCAACAAGTTCTTAAACTACTTCAGCCACTGTGCCTTTCACTGCTCACCAGGAAACTTGCTCAGACTGTTAATGTTCTGATTCATTGCCAATTAATTTTAATGTTTGGTGGAAGACATCTGCACACATGACTCATGGTGGCCTGTATGTATTCTAACTTCTAGGGCCTGTGAAGATGAACAAAAACACACCCTTGTTTTACCTTTTGGACTGGATTGTATAATTATTTGGCCTCTGCATATCCTAGGATTTAATCAGTTACTTTGGTGGGCATATCTGATAGGATCTGCCTGACGTTGATTCTTGGCCTACCAGGATTGCTGCTGACACTGCATTACTCTGAGTTTTTATTGACCCAATGATTATAAAAGTTTGTTGACATTAGGTGCAAATAAACTGTCTTCATAAAAACTGATCTGAGCTCTGGCAGCCTCTTAACCACTAGGGCAGCCGTGGGCAAACTACGGCCCGTTTGAAATGAATAAAACTAAAAAAAAAAAAAAAAGACCTTTTATGTAATGATGTTTACATTGAATTTATATTAGTTCACACAAACACTCCATCCATGCTTTTGTTCCGGCCCTCCGGTCCAGTTTAAGAACCCATTGTGGCCCTCGAGTCAAAAAGTTTGCCCACCCCTGCACTAGGCTGTAGTTATTCCTAAAACTATATTTTCTCTTCTCTTCTTTCCTCCTCCTCCTCCTCCTCATCCTCCTCCTCCTCTTTCTCCCTCTCTCTCCCTCTCCTCCCCTCCCTTTTTTCCTCCCCTCCCTTCTCTCTAGATCAATAAGCATGTCCTTGGATGAGGATTAAAAATAAAATACTAAAATCCAGTTTTAAAACTACCTTCTGATATAGTCAGCATACTCAAAATTTGATTTTTCTCATCTCCTCTGTTAACACTATGTAAACACATCTTAGGCATCACTGCAGTACCTCCTCATTAGAATCCCTGCAT